TCGTTTCAAGATATAGATGATAACTCAATATCCTCATCAATTCTTCTAGATGTTCTGTTGTTAAACAACTTCGTAGATCATCTAATATTTAGTTCATTCTACTAAACACTGATTTATACATGGGCAATAGACGAATAAATGATGAATCAAACGATGATTAATCTAGCTGCTTTCGACTAATCATAGCAAAGAATTTATGTAAGAAACATAATTACATTAATTTAAGACAAGAACGAATCAGCCCATGTCCTATAAATCGCTAAAAAATTGCCGATTAATCGCGATATATCGAAACGATAATCGTGAGCTGAAACGCGATTAATCGCCGATTTTTAATGATATTCTTTGCGATTATTACGATAGATCGCGATTTATCTCCGATTTTTTTCAATATTAATCATAGCTTTATCGCTGATTTATCTGATATTATCGTGATTTCTGAGATGTATTTTTTATTAACTGGATCTATTGTTCCGACTTAGTTTTATTTACAAAAACTCTACTATTTTGATTACTTATAATATCAAAAGTAACAATAAAATCAAGAAAAAGAAGCAAAGATAATTATTGTTACTCATTCTATTTTTATACAGTCAAGTCATGAAGTTAGAAAAAAGAGGAACAACGTTGAAATTAGCACCAACGAAGACATAACAAAAGTCAGGTTGGAAATTATGAATAGCATTTGAAATGTAAAAGTGAAGTATCATGGAGTTCGATATAAGCCAATTGGACCGGATGTACAAGATTCAAGTGTAAGAAATAAATCAGGATACCATGTATATATACATAAAATATAATACCAAACAAAAGCAGTCAAATTTAAATTAAGTCATAACAAAATAATTATAATTCTAATGCATATTTTTTTTCATCATTAAGGTTCTCAGTTGGATTCTTGATTGTTGAAAGTTTGATGCGTTGACGACATCAGTTGTATTGATGAGCTTTCGGGACCAATTCGAAGACTACTTTCATCTAGAAGGAAAAAACGTAGAAACATATTTTAGCAATTTCCGAGAAAGAAACTACTTGATGTAGTTGTATTGCGTAGTTTAGCATTTAAATTTCTTCGCTTAAACTTGATGCAATCTAGCATCGGCATCCAAACTGTTGCCAGCTCATCATTTGTTAAACCAAATTTTACTTGGACGGAATCTAGAATAAAAACAGAACTTTTTATGTAATAAATTTGAAATGATTTACCTAGAATAGCTTTAATTCGATCATCTGTATCGATCGAGGGTGGATCAAAAAGTTCTTTTCCCTGTTTGAGTATTCGATCTACAGTTTTTAAAACAAATTTATTTGGATTTGCTTTATCTACTGGAATTTGAAGCAGTTGAGCTTGTTCGCCGGTAGTGGACTTGCAAGTCTAAGAAGAAAAGATTAGAGAAAATGTTGATACAAGGCTACTTACGATAGTGCTCGAATCAATAGTAGATGTTGATGGTTTACGCTCTGTCTCATCAAATAATACAATTGGAATCTGGAGAAAAACAAGAACTATAAATTTGACTAATGACAGCTCTCTTTACTTTATGATTTCGCATAGCTTTAGCTATTTTCTTTTGATCGTCTAAAATCAAATTCAACGTTTTCTGATGTTGTTCATATGGATGAGCAAGACCAGCTATTTGCTTGGGAAGTTGGCCCAAGTTATAATTCATTTCCTTTATTGGTGCAGATGATGACTGATTAACGACAAGTTTCTCTTGATTCACAGTTGATGATGAAGTATCATTAACTTGATATCGTTTTACAGGTATTTCTCGAGATACTCTTGATAATATATGCTTCCTCGGTTTCGAAGTAATTATTCAACGGAGAGTAGAACATACGAATATGATCATCAGTGCTTTTAACCGTTTCTTGTTCTTCATCATAACTTGATTCATTATCATCATCTTTATCAGATGATATTCTGGAGCATTCGCCTTAAATAGAAAAAATAAAATCTGTGCAAATCTATATTATTGTTACAGGTTTTGGATAATCTTACCAGCCTTATCTGGTTCGTCAAATAAACAAGTATTCAATGTTGTATATGTTCGATGTTCGCGAAGATCTGAAACAAAGAAAATAAATTTCGAGTCAATCAAATAACTGGAATAATTTACCAAAAGTATGCAGCTCAGTTAATTGTTTATTAAGTAAATCTAAAAAATGTATAGTAAATATATAGACAATAATATAATCAAATGATGCTTTGCAATTATTGACGTTCGTACCAAAGCAATCAAAGATAAACTACTTATAACTATTTCTAGTGATTACTCTACATTAATGGTGCAATGCTGACTTCTCGAATAATCAAAAACAAAAATATAACTCATTATTAGGTGATACAATGAATCCTGGTCAATAAGAATATAAAACTAAGGTGACTGATGGTCCGGTATTCGATTAAATGTTCTTTGCTAGTGACTTACAATCTGTCAAGATTTTTATCAGAAGACATAACACATTCTCTGATAAGATATAACCTTCAACTGTTTCACGTCATATCTATTATCATATACTATTTGAATCAGTCAGCGAACTTTCATTAGCCTTCAACGCTGGTTATCTCTGAAAATTTGAAAATAAATAATGAGCTTAGAAAGACAAGAGATTCTTTATTCAAACTTACTTGGTTTATCGTTATTTTTTCTGATTGATGATTCTTTTTATTTTAAGCCATTTCTCCGTGTCAGATACTACGTCAGAATTCATTTTGTACGTAGATAATTTTTCTGCTTCTTGAGCTAGTTGTTCCATTTCAATAAGAGTATCTATACAAGAGAAAACAAGTATTTGACCGAAAAATTATATAATTAATAACGTACCGGTTCGCTCGACAGTAATACGAGAAGTTTTATTTTGTTCTCGAATAGATTCTTTGCCAAAGTTGTCAACATTAATTAGTCTTCTAATAGATACAATACTGAAACTACTCGGTTAGTTCATCTAACTAATAAAAGCAAATTCTGCATCTTTTCTTCGTGCTTCTGTTGTATACAATTTTGCGTATGTATTTTGTATCATTTAAAATATACAAATAATATATAGATACATTAAAATACACTAAGATATGTCGTGAAAATACGACACAAAATCATGAATTTAATATAAAAAATTAGTTTAATCTTGTTCGTAATCGACTCGTACTTCAGAAAGAAATACATGATAGTACGATCATTCTTTTATAGTATGTACCACAGCTGATGTCGAATTGTTCAACAAATGTGTTGTTGCCAAATAAAGAAATATTTCTAGTAATTATTGACTTCAGACACGGTTTAATATCCAAAGTGACAACTTCATTAATATTGCGATTTCGAAGAAGCTTATTAACTAATTTACATATATCACTTTGACATAATTTGCACACAGATCGCAATGTACATAATTTAAGACATAAATTACAAAAAAACTTGGAGGAAGTTACAGGTGCTGCATCAAATAATTTAAGTATAGATGTAAGAGTTGTTGGTAACTTATTTCGAATTGGTAAGAACGTTTTGATAACTTTTAATATTCTTTCAATAACATTATTTTGGAAAATTAAATTCAATAGCCATAGACATGATGAATGTAGTAGCAGCTTTGACCGAATTGTGAGAATTTTCATATAAATGTGAACTTGAATTAGCAGACAAATCAGCTAAGTTTTCATTCCAATCAATATTATCACTATCATCGTCACCGTCCGATATACGTACATGTGAAAGTATTAGAATTTAAATAATCTGATTGGAGTAATTCCTCTGGTTTAGATGCTGTAACTTTACGAATATTATTATCACGAGGACTGTTCTCATGAGTATAGTGTCTTCATGAGTG